GTGTGCATCTGGAACATAACGGACCTGATTTTCTCCAGAGAAACTTTCACAAGCAGGAAGCACATCCTCTCACTTCTTCATTCCAAGAAATTATAAGGTCCTTGCAGACACCAACACAATAATTCACACAGAGCACAGTGAAACATTCTAAAACTGTTACACAGCTTACATGTCCTTGTGAATAGTGCAAGAGCTGTTCAGAAAATTATTTCTGAGATTTTATTTCAGTATTTTTAATATACCTAACAAGCTGTTTAGTGTTTTGGTCTGATTAAACATTCTTTTAAATATTGCCCTGTCACCAGCACCAGTCAATGCTCTTGTTGCCTGCCCAGTGGGAAGATTAAAATTCCAAAATCCCAACAAATTTCTCCTGGGTAGCAGCTTGCTAGGCTAATTCAGATGGCAGTTAGGAGTCACATGAATGACTTTATTAAACCAGATATGCTGTTACAACAATCCTACAGTAAGATTGTTATGGTGAGCAGCATTTTAATCCAGATATTAATTAATTGAGTTTATATTCTTCCAGATGCTGTGGTGGGATTTAAACTCAAGTTCTCTCAACATTAGTCCAGTCCTCTGGATTACCAGTCAAGTATCATCATTACACTAATGTTTCCAATTATACCCATCAGGCAAAAAGGAAAAGACTTAATCTCTTCTCTCTTAAAGGAGAAGGCTGAGGCTGGGTTACCTAATGCAGGTCTTTAAAATTACAGACAGTTTGAAAAGGCAAAGAGAGGGTGCTTCCAATGGTGAATAAAAGCAAATAATAATAGGCCATGAATATGATAGTCACCAATAAAACAATTAGGATTTCAAAAGAAACTTCTTTATCTGAGGAGTGGTGAGAATGTGCAAGTTGCTACCATGGGGTGTGAATAGTATCAATGTGTTTAGGAGAATGCCAGATAAGGATGAAGGAGAAGGAAACAGCAGGATATACTATGGATTTTGATGAAAAAGATAGAGAGAGGTTCAAATGGGCTCTCTGATTCAAAAGTCCTGCAATATACACCTGACATTACACAATTATATATCTCTGAAAAGGTATTTAACAATCAGAAACTGGTCCAGTTAACAACATGCCTTCACTGTGGGTCTCTTCGTTGCCTTTCATTTAGTAGATTCTAGATGCAGCCCAAGGTTGTGAAATGAAGGTGATTAGAACAAACAAACAGTACACTGTTAGATTAGACAATATTTATTTCTAATCCTTGTCAATTCAAATGCATTCCTTGTTTCAGGTAGAAATGATCACTCTGAGAGTCATGCTGTTGATCGGAGCTGTTGATTCTCTCTACCGTCAGCTGTTTACAGCAGCAACTGGTTACCACTCCAGTCTCCATGATCAATCTGCTTTCTCTGCAGCCAGGACCAGCAGCATGATGGGACGTTTCCAGAACGCAGTTACATTTGACAAACTTTTGGTTAACATTGGGAATGACTTCCGGCCAGACACAGGCAGGCTTATCTGCAGAATCCCTGGGGCTTATTATTTCTCATTCACCGTTGGAAAGTATCCAAAGAAGATGCTCTCGGTCATGCTGATGAAGAACAGGTACGAGGTTCAAGCAGTAGCCTTCGATGATCATCGGCAAAAGAATCGCAAAGTGCAGAGCCAGAGCTTGATGCTGAGATTGAAAACAGGTGATACTGTCTGGCTGTTACTGCACAGTAACTCCAAGTACGCTCTATACAGTAACATAGGACCATACACAACCTTCACTGGCTACCTAGTCTATCCTGAATTTCCACCCTGTTGGTTAGGCAACAGTCTGCCTTCGCTCCGTGCCACGTCCAACTGCTCCCATTCCATTGCTAAACCGAAAAGAAACCAGTCCACTTTGAGCTGCCTCACAGCACCTCGGCCAAAGGACAACATTCGTTCTGCATTTTCCGCAGCCAGAACCAAGTCATTGCTTGGGGAGAACATGCAGAACCTGCCATACGCAGCAGTAACATTCGACACAGAGTACATCAACATTGGTGAACATTTTGACAAGCTGAGCGGCTTCTTCACATGCCAGATCCCAGGTGCCTACTATTTCTCCTTCAACGTTGGGAAACATCCCTGGAAGGCCATCTCAGTCAAGCTGATGAAGAATCTCAGTGAGGTTCAGGCCATGATTTTCAATGAAGATTACACTCAGCGCAGGGAGATGCAAAGCCAGAGTGTAATGCTCCAGCTGGGCGCAGGGGACAAAGTGTGGCTGTACAGCCAGCAGCACCCACGCTTTGGTTTGTACAGCAACCATGGCAAGTACATCACCTTCACTGGATTCCTCATTTACCCAGACACAAACACCCTAAAGAGCCGTGGGTCTACATGACTGTGCTAAATTGTTCAGTGAATGCAGAAGTTCTGCTTTAATTCTAAATGCCTACAGCAGTCAGCATGGCTGAATTTTACTGTAAAAGTATCTTTCATTGCAGCTTTGTACCTAACTACAGGTTGCTAGTTTAGAAACTAAGAAAATTTGAACCATACAACAGTACAGCATAGAAGGTCATTCAGCTCATCAGATGTGCATCAACACCTTTAAGGAACAATTCAGGTACCCCCAAACCCCTCTATTAATCCCTGCAATGTTTTCTCCTTTCAGCATTTATCAATTCCCTTTAATAAGTCAATGTGAATCTCTATCCACCACCATATCAAGCAGTGAAGTCCAAATCCTAACTGTGCATTAAGTTAAAGCAAAGTTTTTCTTCATGTCATTTCCGGTTCTTTCGCCAGTCATATTAAATCTTTGTCCACCAGCAACAATTTCTACAAAATAAAAGCAAAATGCTACGGATGCTGGAGATCTGAAATAAAAACAGAAAGCGCTGGAGAAAGTCAGAAGATCTGAATGTATTTGTGGAGGAGCAGTTAATGCTTCAAATTCAATTACTCTTCTGCAGAACCCTGTATTGGAAACAATGTGTTCTTATTTACTCCATCCAAACCCTTCATGAATTTGAAAACATTATCAAATCTCCTTCCTTGCTATTATTCGGCTTCTGAATGGGCATCTCAAATTTCAAATTTAATGTTGACCTTGTTCTTTGTGCACCTTCTCTGCAGCTGTAACATTGTAATCTTCGCTCTGTTCTATTAGCCTAATGCACTTTGTATGGTATGATCTGCCTGTATGACACGCAAAACAAAACTTTTCACCGTACCTAGGTACATGTGACAATAATAAATCAAATCAAACCTTAACCTTCTCTACTGAAAGAACTACCCCAGCTTCTTTAGTTTCTCCCTAGAACAAATAATCCTGATCCATAGAGCCAATTTAGTAAATCTCCTCTGCACCCTCTCCAAGGCCTTCTCATCCTTTCTAATGTGTACTACCCTGAAATGTACACAATACTCCAGTTGGAGTACTAAACCAGCATTTCATATAAACTTAGCATAAACTTCTGGTGCTGGTACTTAACACTTGTATTTATTGTGATGCAATCAAGTATTTAATTTTTCTTTGACTTTTCATTATTGGAATGGTACAGTATCACTGGGAACAAACACAAATCTGAGGCTACACCCACCTGTTAAGACAAGTCAAGCAAAGTAAAAACTGCTGGGATTTGATCTAGAGATTCAGTGGTCACAGCTACTCACAACTTTGATGAGGAATGTGAAACCATGGTAGCTAAATTCACATCCAACACAACAACAGGTAGCAAGCTATGTTGTGAAGGAGACATAAGGAGATTGCAGATGGACATACGTAGGTTGAATGGGAGGGCAAAATATGGCAGGTTAAGTATTTGGGAAAATATGAAGCTGTTTACTTTGGCAGGAAGAATGAAAAAGCAGACTATTACTCTAACAGAACGACTGCAGAATTCCAAAGTGCAGGAGTTTACAAGTTAGACTGCAGGTACAGCACACAAACTGGAAGACTAATGGGATGCTATCCCTTATCACAAGAGGAACTGAACGTAAACCTAAGGTTATTATGCTTCAGATATACAAAGCATTGGTGAGATGACATCTCAAATACAGTGCAGTTTTTCTCTCATTATTTAAGGATATAAATGCATCAGAGGTGGTTCAGCAGGGGTTTACTAGATTGACAATTGGAATAACAGCTTGTCTTTGAGGATAGGTTGGATAGATTGAATTTATTTTCACTGAAGTTTAGAAGGAAGGGTGAGGGATGATTTCACTGAAATATACAAGATCCTGAATGGTTTTGATCAGGTGGATGTGGAAAACACATTTCCTCTTGTGGGTGAGTCCAGAATCAGGGATGATTGTTTTAATTAGGGGTCAACCCATTTAGGGAAGAAATGAGGAGTTTATTTTCCCTGTTTAAGGATTGAGACACTTTGGAACTATTGGCTTCAGAAGGCTGTGAAGGGAAGGTCACTGTTTATTTTTAAGGTAGGAGTAGACAGGTTCTTGTTAGGCAAGGGAATCACTGGTGATCAGGGTACATTCGCGATGGAATTTTAAGCACAAACACAGCAGACATGATTTTCTGAATGGTGCAGCAGGCTTAAGGGGCCGAACGGATTCCTTTTGGTCCTCTCTCAATTGTAACATTACAGCCTTTTGACAGTAAAAGCAGCCTAAGGCACTTCACTGGAGCATTATTAAACAAAATTTTATGTTTAGCCATGTGATATTTGGACAGATGGACACAAGCTTGGTCAGGGAGGTAGGTATTATGGACAGTTTGAGGAGGAAGGAGATGTAGGAAGGTAAAATTCAGAGAGGGCATCACTGAGTGCAGAGTCCAGGTGGTTAGAAGCCTCACCTTAAATGGGGGAGCAAAAAAAAGTGGGAGGGTAAAAGAGAGCTGTACTTGTCAGGGCAGAGTCGTGTACTGAGGTGCACTTTAAAGCTACTAATCAGGTGAGTTAGTTTAATAGAAGATAGCTACACAGATCAGAGCTGAGAAACTTGGGTTTACAAGATGGTTAGTTAGAGAATCACCAACTTTGGGACTCTGGGTTTAAATATCAATAGTAATACAAGGATTGCGTTTGTTTCAGCTTACCTTGTCTGTATGTGAAGAGAGATTCGTCACAGGTTTCTTCTGCAACATATCCCAGAGAATCACTGACTTATCAGCAGATGCACTAGCCAGAACAGACCTACAGTACGACAAAAGAAATCGTAGTGACGGCCTCATAGCCAGATCTCTATCCTTCAGGAAATCAGCAAAACATGATGCTGTACTGAATTATCCTTCATTTTTGCTCTACATCATGTTTACTTCATTAAAGTACTTAGAGCAAGAATAAAAACCAGGAACAACCATCTGTCCTGGAACTGTAATCACCATACTTAGCCCTGTGTGAACACAAGGTGCACATCAATCATTTGTAAATTTCCTCACTACATATTAGCTACTAACACTAAACTGCACACTTCCTCACTAGTTACTAGCAGTAAACCATCCAGTTCCTCCTGTCCCACTGGTTAATAACACCAAACCAAATATTGTCTTGCTCCCTGCTGGTTACTAGCATTAAATGACACAGACAAGAGAATTAATATAAGCCAACAGCACCATCTTCTGGCAGCTAGTCAGATGAGCGTTTTTACAGTTAATTCCCCTGAACCATTAACCAGCCAGTGTTTAATTACATGGACCCACATTAGTGGGAGAATTAGCACAAGTACAGGAATTCACGAGCGTTCACTGATAAGTTGTGAAGTTAAGTAATAAAACGTGCACTTACATTACAAATTAAAATAACAAAATTCATTTTCATCAAATACTGACACCTTGTGGTAAAATAGAAAGCATTGCCTATTACTTCATCAAATATACAAAATGTTACACTCAGCACTTAATGGAAGGAGGTCCGAACTTCCATTATTCCTTTTCTCCACATTACAATTTGAACATTCATACAAAGGAAATGTTAACGTGCCACTGTAGATATTACCTGACGTTTTTGTTCCAAGATAAATCAAGAACTGCGTCCGTGTGTCCCTCCTCCCTAATCTCTGCACTCTGAAATAACAAGTTAACAACAAATGAGAAATTTCAGGCTTACATCTGACCAGTTGATTCCACAGACAGGCTAACAGAAAATCAAGTTTCAAGCAATGTAGACAGGCTTTCAGCACACTACAACAGTACATGCACACGCGCGGACACAGACACACAGACATTCCCACCCCCGAAAACACACTGACTGTGGAGAAACACCCATTGGCAGAGAACATCAGAATGACCATGAACTGTAGAATGGTGAGGTGGCAGGGCCAATTCTTCAATCGCTGATCCCAAGATGAGCAATAGTTGGCCTGTGCCCAGGCTGACAGATGAAGACGAATGAAAAATGACAGCGAGGGTCCACTCTCTTTCACCATCATTTATAAATAATGCAATGTTGAGAATCAAACAAATTTCAATGACAAACAGGCTGGACTTTCATTTGGGCTAAATGTGTACTTAGACTGTAGAGACAGACCAGTCATCGATCAGTCAGTCTGACTAGTACTAACCAGCAGCAGCATGGAGCGAATATTCATGTGAGCCACCCACAGTGTAGTAACTACACAGGCTCGATACCTTTTTGCCTTGCTTCTTCTTCTTTGTCTTCTTGTTCCCCAGACTGAAAACTGGTTCCAGACAATCGACTGCATCCAGATCCCACACGTCAATCACAGGAGTCATGTTACCCACAGCAGCATAATTCCCTACAAGGAGAAAACTCTAATCAGGGATGGAGGGGAAAAAGGGATAAAAAGCACTAACGGAACATCTGCTTTGGGAGAGGTGGGCACAGAAGATACAACGTTCATCAAAACAGGTTTTAAGTGGCCAGGGACTGTCCAACACACATGGTCAGGCTCTGGGAGTGGACAACAGCTTCAAGAGACAAAGCTCTAATCAGTTTTCACCTTATTATTGAGGGTCTCGCAGCCAATAGCCTGAACTTTTGAGCACTACAACCAGTATAATCAAAATGACAACTACTAGATGAAAACTTCCTTGAATAATATTCTTTTCCAAACTGACCTGTTAGTTTTTCTGGGTTTGGATCAAAGTTAAGCCATTCAGCACACAATGGATAGGCAGGAAGCAGCACGTCATGATGAACATAGAGAGATTGCTCCTCTTGGTTGTGAACTGCAAGAGACAATACATTGAGAGTGTGTCAAAGTGTGCAAAACAGATCTTACACATGATGCAATGCAGCACCAATAACCAAAACACCATTCAACATGGATTAGCAGAATTTTGCATACATCCAGCCTAATGAAAAGCAATATATTTTATTTGTATAACACCTTTCATGAACTCAGAACAACTCAAAAGTGTTTTATAGCCAATGAAGTGCTTTTGAAGTATAGACACTATTGTGACGTAGTGTAGTAGTCACTTTGCATGCAGTAAGATCTCAGAACCAAAACCATGATAACGACCAGATAATCTACGACCAGAACCTGTGACAGTGGGATATCTAAATTAAAAGCTTCTTTACTGGCAATCTCACCATAAATCTCTAGGCTGCAGCAATCCCTTTCAGCTTTCCCCACAATTATCAGATTGTCAGTGGGCTTGATTTTGAAATCTTCATCTTCATATTGATCCTACAACAGACAATGCTGCTTTAAATTTCAAGTTACTGTAACATTGTTTCTTGAGAGTAGAAGCAGAGCACTTGACATTATATTTACACATCTAGTAATCATTAAAATTTCTGTAACAATGTTCTGTAACAAAAAAAGTCACAGGAAGGGAGAGTGGATAACAATAAGTCTGATAAGCTTCACACTCCAACTTACTGTATTTTTAAGAGTGACATATGGATCATCTTCATTGCTAGCGTAGACTGTGAGTCCTCCCAAAGTGTCGCCAAGATTCACACCACCTACATGGAACATCAAGGGTCATCACTTAAAGCTCTAAAATAAGGAGCCTCATGGTTAATTGTTCCAGGGATGTTTACTGCTTAAACATTAATTAATTAAGTGGCATCGAACTAAGGGCTGGACAAATAATGCGTTACAAACAATGTGTCACACTGTCTATTGGCTGCAAATGCTGCAAAGAGATCATGTGTACAAGGTTCATCCAACATCATTCTGAGGTGTCAGAAAACAGCGGCCAATTTCAAAGACGCTGTATTCTGGTGGTCTGGGACTTTGAGGCCTGAATCATACCCCACACTCATTGAAGGTGACTAGGGGTGACAGTGGGATGGAGGGGTTTGGTTGTCAGACACAGGTCTTTGCAGGATGGCTACAGCAGCGAGGCCTGACCAGTGACACTGTTCCTGGGGCCACCCATGGATGTTTAGGAAGGGGATGGCGGAGCATGGGCCTATACAACTGAAAGGATGGCCACCAAGGGGCAAGTGATTAAACAGAAGTTGTCCGACAGGTCAGAATTAGAGCAGCACAGATATCTCATAGGGTTGCTGAAGCTGGATGAAATTACAGAGATAAGAAGGGACAAGATCTTGGAGAGGATGAGAAAACAAAAAGAATTTGTTAAGATTTATTTTGCACAAGAGGCATTAAGAAATAAGTTGATTTTGAATAGATCAAAATGAAAGCATCAAAAGCCTAGCAGCAAAACTCACCTGCATGATATGGGAATTTTATGGAGGCTGAAGTGATTGACTCAATTCAAGAGTTGAAATGATAAACGACGTCATTGTGGTTTTACCACGCGACACAGAGCAATCACTGGCATTAAGTCCTTCTATGACACTCACCTTCCTCCTCATCATATTGATCAAGGTCATATTCTGCCAGGCTGTCATTGTCTTCCTCCTCTTCTCCTTCCTCTTGGGTCTTGGAATCACCTGAGGCAGGATTGTCTGTTGCATCCATCAACTCCTCCTCATTCCCTCCTTCCTCTGCCTGTTCTTCGTCTTCCTTCTGATCACTGGAAACAAACACATGATATTTAGCATGTTTAACAGTTGAAAACCTCGCACATTCTGCCACTTGCCATTTTTTGGCTGCCACACCGAGAAGGTTGGTAGCTAATCACCAATATTCTTCTTCCTTTCTTTAATTAAGGGATGTTTTGTGCAGAAGGGGGAAGATGTGCAACTTACTCAAATTCTTCTCTTGCATCGAGGATTAATTGCTGCAACTCCTCCTTACTCAGATTCACCTAGAAACGAAAATTTACTGAAATTATTAATACTGGAAAAGTAATTGGCCTGGATATCAAGACTCCACAGCTGGAAGAAAACCAAACATTTGTGCATATCCATGCATTCTGAAAACTGAAACTAGCTGTTTCCTGAGAAATCCCCAGCAACAGATTCTAGGATCGAGAGCTCCAATAACTCGAGAGCGTGTTACAATCCGGTAGATGGTACAACAGGTCAAGTTAAATCCCAGAACTAATCCTGGCCTGAGATTATTTCTTTTATTTCTTTATTTAACATGACAGTTACTCGCAGGCATATTCGTAGAAAGCTGATTTTCTTCTAGAAGATAATCATATGTGAAAATAAATTTTTATAAGTTGTCTAAATATAGAGGACAGGAAAGGAAAAGTAGCAAACTATTTCCCAATGCTATCCATTACAAAGATTCCAGACCAGACCAATTAAATCTGTCTTCACTGACTAACAGTTCCTTCAGTAGACTCTTCAGACAATTCAAGAAGCCCTCTCCAACTCTGTAAAACAAGCTTTCCACAAACTCGAGCTAAAATTTTGCCGACACTGCGGCGCTCCCTCAGCGCCGGCCCGCCGACACTGCGGCGCTCCCTCAGCGCCGGCCCTCCGACACTGCGGCGCTCCCTCAGCGCCGGCCCTCCGACACTGCGGCGCTCCCTCAGCGCCGGCCC